GTGTCTGTTGTGGGGTGAGGAAGGGAAGGAGATTGTAAGCCGCTCTAAGACACTGAGTGAAGGGCGGGGTATAAATCCAACTCTTCTTCTTCTTCTGTTTACTGCCACCACCAGCACACCGGGTAAAATCCAACCCCTCTCTGTCTCACATAAGGGTTGCCCAAAGCCAACCTCACAGGGGTGTTACTCGATAGCATACCATGTAGCGAAGTGATGTCAGAAGGAATTGTCCAGACTCTCTCAAGTTAAACAAACTTTATTTCTACAAGGCTCAAACTCAGGGTACTGCAAAGGACAGAATCTATGTGCGCTAAGGAAAATTAACAAAAAGACCGTCACTAATTAAAATACAATCCATCATACATCAGATCTGCAACTCTCTTCAGCATCATTCGCCTCTGTCATCCTTCATGGTGAACCAGAAGCTCCAAAAGTTTCCAAAACAAAGAGCCCCCAAACAACACAACAGTTCCCTTTTCAGTCCCCACCAGTGTGCTCTGGGGCCTTCAGCCAATGTGGGAGCAAACCTTGGAGTTCAAACCTGGGCTCACAAATAAGGAGGTGTTAACACATCAAAGGACTAGCATGTTATCCCTCCCAGTTCCAAAAGGATGCTTTGTATCTGCCAAAGAGCACTCTCCCCCCTTCTTCCTAGCTACAGAGACGCCTGAACCATTTCCCATGACCATAGCTGTCAAGGCATCCCCCCCATCTCACTACAGTAATGCAATCTGAAATACCAACAAAACTGATTCCTTCTGTCTTTAATTGTTTTTCGATTATATTTAGGAACTATAAACATGGTTTGTACATGGAGGTGAAACACAGGGCTTACCTGCTGTGTCTGGTACCTCTGTTGGGCCTGTGACAGATATTGGGCCTGTGGAGGCAAATGCTGAGGTTGTGGTTGCTGGTTGTAATATGGCTGTTGGCCCGGTTGGCAGTAGCCACTTACACCTTGTTGACCATACTGAGGTGGCATCTGTTAGGAAAAATGACCAAAGCTAAGTTAAGGAGAAAAACCAAATGAGGCATTTTCTATTATCTTGCTGTCATTTACAAAGATTTAGTTTCAGTTGATTTTCAAAGGGTCCAAAGCATTGTCTGGGTGGCAAAACCAAACCAAACTTTAATGTAACTTCCAAACAAATTAAGAAGGGGGAGAGGTAGAGTTAGCAACTCAAAGCTTAAAAACAATAATGTCCGCTCCTACAATTCTAACTCTGCTTCTAGAATATTCTGTTAAGGAAAGCAAACAAACTAAGTTTTAGAAACTGGTTTACTGAATCAAATATTTGCACCTCAGAAATTTCCAAACCAATCAATATTTACTAATGAAATATTTGATTGGGCCCATATGCTCTACATTTCAGAACCGCTTCTATGTATCACAACTTGGCATGGTTGGCACTACTGACCAGAGATGCTGGGTCCATCTGTTCCCACCAGGAAATGAGAAACTGCCCTGAAGTGCCAACAAAATGGCAATCTCCCATTTTCTGGTCACACAGTCACTGTAGGAGTAGAGCAGATCTGGGTAACACCATTTTAGTATCAAGATAAATAAGACAAATCTGAATATGAACAGTGAATTTGGATTCTGTCACCATTCATGGGAACAGGTCCCACATCTTGCAAACTCTTGGATTTCCCCAACTGCCCTGGTTTCTTGGAATGTCTTACATCAAATCAGACACTGGATGTGCCCTGCTTGCTTTGCCTTACTTTGTGGTTCTCCCTTATAGTGATAAACATTTTTGCCCTGGGGAAACTGGAATTTTCAGACTTCTCTTTGGTTTTTCTTTTGGCTCAGAAAGTAATGTGGGTTTTTTTCCTGCCAGCATATTAGACAATATAACAGAATAACATCAGTAAAAATCATTCCTAAATCAGCATAGACAAATTCAAATCCATTCCTGTGAATACACCCCTTGTGATTTTTCTTATCACAAACTATTATTTTAGCTCCTCTATGCTGTCCTCCCATCCTCTTTTTTTACTGTAAGTAACCCTTGAGGAGATCTTATTCCATTTGTCTGAAGAAGTGTGCTTTGCACATGAAAGCTTACACTTTGAATAAAAAAACTTTGTTTGTCTTAAAGGTGCCACTGGACTCAAACTTTGTTCTGCTGCTTCAGAATAATACGGCTACCCACTTGACTTTTTCTATCAATTACAATGTTAATGTTTTCATGCTCTTGAAAAAAGAGCAACTAGCTTTACTGTTACAGAAAAAAGGGGTTCCTTTGTAATCTTGTAATCCATTCCAATAGCTATTTACCCTTTCTTGTTAATGTCACTTCTTAATGACAAGCATTTTACCGTATTGGCAGAAGACTATATTCTTTAGCTAAGTTAGAAAGAACTAGCTGACACTGACTGGTCTGCTCTGATTGTATTTTCTTCAGTATCAGACATTAGGTTAATCATTCTACCACCATTTCAACCTTACCATACCAGTTAACAACTGTTCACTCTCCTCAGCCTGTGCCCAGAGGAGTTGCATTGCTTTTGTACAGGGGATGTGTGGTTGCTAGCCATTTGTGGTGGGGGAAATCTGTATTCGGCTAACACAATCGTTCATGGAAAACTGCATCTTTCTGAGCAATTATATATTATGATTTGATATCAGTGAAATGTGAATGTTTCCTCTTCAACCTCAGCATTTGTAGTAATAGTGCTATATTGATGGCAGGTGCATCATTGAGATGAGAGACACAAAAGCCTTCTCGCCCCTAACTAATGCTCCATCATTTCACTGTTTTTTCCTTTCGGAAGCTAGATACATCTCCCAAGTGCTAGCACATATGCTCACCCCAATATATGTTTTAAAAGTCAGTTCTAACCACCCAGTCACAGCAGAACCATGTTCCTATAGGAAGCTACCCATATGTGTTACACAGGTATAAATATAGAACCTAGCTGACAGTGGTTACAAAGTCAAAAGTTAAGGTTTGGAGGAGTGTCCATCTGCCTCTCTCATTTAGATAGATAGATAGATAGATAGATAGATAGATAGATAGATAGATAGATAGATATATATAGATATATATAGATATATAGGTATATATAGATATATATATATACACACACACACATATATATATACATACACACACACACACACACACACTGTTTTAAAAGTTTGTTTTTAATGTATTTTTAACTGTGCGCCTTCCTGAGGGCCTTAGCATAATATAAAGATATGATAAAGTGTTTTAAATAAATATAAAATAAACAAACAGAGAAGAATCCTTACGGAATATGGCTGGCCAATATAGAAAATAGGAGTTTGGACTAGATGGATATTTGGCCTCGTGCAGCAGGGCTTCTCTTACATTTTTATGCATGGTACATTCAACTGAGGTATGGCCATACATGTCCTAGGATATTTTCTCTTCTCCCATATAGATTAATTAACAACCCTATAGTTCAGTTTTGTTTGTGGGAATGATTAATTATCCTTCTGTTAAACGGCAATGCTTAAATACAAAGTTTAGTTTGAATATACTTATTTTTATACTGAAGTCTTTTCTCATCTGATTATCTGGATCGTGCCTATTCAAGGTTAGTGGCACACCATTACCTAGATGATTTGCACTACTTAACTAATCTTTACAAACATAAATGGCATCAATGGTATAAATCGATGGTGTGACCTCGTTTGGAATACTGTATACAGTTCTGGTCACCACACCTCAGAAAGAATATTATAGCTTTGGGAAAAGTGCAGAAAAGGGCAACTAGAATGATAAAAGGGTTGGAACACTTTCCCTATGAAGAAAGGTTAAAACTCTTGGGGCTCTTTAGCTTGGAGAAATGACGGCTGAGGGGTGACATGATTGTGGTTTATAAAATTATGCATGGGATAGAGGAGGTAGAGAAAGAAGTACTTTTCTCCCTTTCTCACAATACAACAACTCGTGGGCACTCAATGAAATTGCTAAGCAGTCGGGTTAGAGCAGATAAAAGGAAGTACTTCTTCACCCAAAGAGTGATTAACACATGGAATTCACTTCCACAGGAAGTGGTGGTGGCTACAAGCATGGACGGCTTCAAAAGGGAATTAGATAAGCATATGGAGCAGAGGTCCATCAGTGGCTATTAGCCACAAGGTATAGATAAGAACTCATGGTCTGGGGCAAGTGATGCTCTGTCATCTTCGTGCTTGGGAGGGCAACAGTGGGAGGGCTTTTAGTGTCATGGTCCCACTGGTGGACCTCCTGATGGCACCTGGTATTTTTGGTCACTGTGTGACAGAGTGTTGGAGTGGATGGGCCATTGGCCTAATCCAACATTGGCTTCTCTTATGTTCTTAAACATCAATTCTATAATTCACCATTAAATTCATTAATAATGATACATATGTAAGAACATCACTTTAGATGTATTTAAAATAAAATGTTCAGTGTATATCTAAAGAAGATGGAATGTTGCCAAATGAACTTGATTGTTGAGTTCGTAAACATTTTTAGCTCTGCAACTTGCACAATATACTAGTACAAGGGGTGGGACCCATGATACTCGCGGGGGGGAGGGACCTCCACACATGAGGCAGAGGAGGAAGCAGGAGGAGGAGGTAAGTTCCCCCCATCCCGCCAGTTCCTCCCCCGTCTCCTCCACACACACCCTGCTCGATCTCCCCCCCCCTTTTTGCTGCTGTCTCCCCCCCCCCCGGCTTCAAAGCGAGACCCAAGCAACTTGCCGCTCGGGCCTCGCTGCTCTCCCCCCCCAAGCAGCGGTGGCTGCGGTGAGGGAGTTCGCTGAGCATTCCCTGCGCATGCGCAGGGGACGCTCTGTCAATTTTGGGGGGATTTAAGTATCCCCCCGGTATTTTTTCCGGGTTTTTAGATCAGTTTTGCAGGGAACTGATGAACTTACATTTATTTTTGATGTACTGAAATTCTGAATAATTTTTCCAGGCTTCACAGTGAGAACCAAATAAATAAATCTACTGCAACAAAACAGTCAATCATTTCAAAGAAAATGTTATCTTTCCTTTCATGAAAACACAACACAATTTCATTGTCATTAATGGGTAAAACCTGTCTGCCACAAATGGTAGATCTGTCATTATAAATCCCTTCATTATCTGACTGAAACACAACTATTGCAGATGAACATGCATGCTCCAGAGAATAGATACATATAAGCAGGGGACCTGCTAGGAACTTGAGGGGGGATCTCATTTTCTCTTCCCCACTCTCTCCTCTTTTGCTTCCCTGAAAGCCCCTACAGCCTCTTCCCTTTTCCTATTTCCTTCTCACCTACTAGCCAATCTACTTTGTCTGCACCCCTTTCTTCCCCTTTCCCTTCTCTCCCCCTGGCAGCCCATCCTTGGGAAGATTCTGCATGTTGCTGGCCACCAGACAGGCCCAGTTGCGCATTAGGGAACCTACAAGGATTTGCAGAGGACACCACATTTTCCTCTCTATGCCCCCAGCTTACACTATTTTCTCTTTACCTTCTCCTGGCAGCTCCCATATCCTTCCCTATTCCCTTCTCTTCTCTCCACCCACCAAGCTACCTATCTTTTATCTGTGTCCAACTTCAGGCTTTGCCAATACTACAGCTGGGCCTGCTGGTGGCTCTTGGGCTCCACAGCCGCTGCACCTAGGCTCCAGTGTTCCACCACCATAGCAGCCGCAATGATCACCGAGCCCCTCTTCAGAATTTTTTTAACCTTTTTCAGATTTTTCTACAAACTTAGGAAGTCCCCCAAGTTCACAGAAAAATCTGTTTTGGGTTAGTATACCCCAATCCACAGATTCAGATATCCACAGATAGGGGCCACACTTGGGAAATAGATACACAAGACTAATGGTAAAAATATGGTTGATTCTATTACTATACAGTTAGGTTAGATCTCCCCTCTTGATTATTTCTGGTAATTAATACTAACTCTTGATACCACAAATCTAGAATGGCAAGTGATAAGAAATACACTGATATTCAGAAAAGTATCCACTCATCACCCAGTGT